CGTCCCTCTTCCTCCGGGGAGGAAGGTAGGGGCGGCCCCCCTAAAAAGGCAACATCTAGCCACCACAAAGGCAACAATTGTCACCTTACACTCAAAAGGTAACATTTCCTGCCTGCAGGGGCAAGAAACATCGTTTTTGCCTTCGCATGGTAGGAAACGCGATTTGTTGCCTTTTCAAAAGGGTACAAACCCCCGATGTTCCTTTTTCGATTTACAGTGCGGCCGCCCCGTGGCTCACTTTCCATCACACCAACAACGTCTGCATGGGAAGGAGACCTCACGCGCGTGCCTGCTAGACACTCACACGCATGTGAGCTCACGTGTTCGTGAGTACACGTGACCGACGCGTGAGATTAACTTTTACACACATCGCCGTGCCTTGGCCTGCGCGTCTCTCGCGGTCTCTCGCGGCTCATTTCTCCCGCGATTCTCTCCACGGCGCTCATCTCTCGCGCTCCGCTTGCGACGTCGTCTTGACCCTCCCCGCTGCTGTGGCTCGCGGGGGAAGTGGAGTGTGGGAGACGCACGCTGGAGCCGCTCGTGGAGCGGAGTGGAGGGCCAGGAGGGCGCGTGGGGCGCCCGTTCCGCCCCACGGCGTGGGTAAGCCTAGACACGGCTTGGGTCGATCTGGTGGTCGATCTGGGGTTGAAGTTTGATCCGGGGCAAATCCAAGGGTTATCTTCTCGAGGTAATCCGGGGGTAATCAGGAGGTAGTCCGAGGGCAATCCCAAGGGGAATCCGCCGCGCTGCTCCGCGTGATCTCCTAGTCGTTTTCCCCGCGCGTTCGCTCGATTGATGATGCTATCCTGCGGGTGCTGCTGCTACCCGCCGCCCTGCCCGGCCCAGCAGCCGTGCGCCACGGCACGACTCAAGGTCAAGTGGAACGCGGCGCCTCCTCGCGCCAATCGGTATTTGCATCTCCATTGACATTCTCATTGACGCGAATGGGATGCGCGGCGGCAGCAGCGCTGGGGGCGGGAGGGGGGGGGGGCGACACGACCCGCCTCACTGGCCTCCTCCTGTGTTGGGCTCCGGGAGCACGCTCTGTCGGACCACACGGAGGTGTACTTCCGCGTGTGGTGGTGGTGGCGCCACGCCACACCACGGCCCTGCTGCACCCCGCGCACTCCCGCGCCTGCTTCGCGTTATTTGAATGGTGGTCGGCGCGGTCACGCAAGGCGCCGCCACGCCGCGCCACGCCACGCTGTGCCGCGCCTCATGGCGCGGAGGCATGCGCTGCTGCTGCTGCCGCCGCCGCTGCACCGCGGTCAGTCAGTGAGGAGGGACCTACATACCACTGTCCGCTTATCACAAGCGGCGTGACTCTCGGCGTGACGGCGGCGTGACAGCGCTGCGACCTCGGGGCGGGACGGGGCGGGATACTACGGGCAAACACACCAGACTGACAGACACACTGCGGCTGTTTTCTCACGTCAGCAGCTACAACTAACTGTTGTTTCCAGCTAGCAAGCCACTCTGGCCACCAGAATTTGGTGACAGGACACAGGCCTACCCGGGTCTACACCACACCCTAGGGGGCAATCTGACTAAAATCACAGGGAATCATCATGGGAACGCACGGGAATCAATATTGATAACCGAAAATCAAGGAGGCGGGCCTCACTGGAAATCGGGATTCCCGGGAGTCATGTGTACATTAGGCCCAAGAATGGCCTTATTCTACTCGCCTTTTGGCGCTCGCTCGGCTCGCGCGCGCCGCGCCGCGCAGGCCCCCTCTCATTTGCATGCGTGATTATTATTTTGCCCACGACGAACGAACGATTGGAGTCCGCGACGCACGGCTTCTTCCCGCTCTGCTAGCGGGCAAGGACGATCCTGCTGCTGCGGCCGGCCGCCGCGCCGCGCTGTGGCCAGTCGGCCCCACCGCCCCGCCCCGCCCCGCCCCGCCTCTAGCTATCGGCCACTTGGCGCGCGGGGCCTATGAGCATTAGCCTGACGCGGTTGGACCGAATGGCCGTCATAACCACGCTCGCTGCTGTCAGGGGCGGTTTTATGTCTGACCGGCTCGGGACCCCGCGCGACAGCCAGTTGGGTTGCCCAATGCGCGGCTTTGCGACTCGGATTGCCTAGCTCTCTAGGGGCGCACCCTCGCCCCGGCGCCCGTCAAAGAGGATCGTAAGGAAGGTCTTGAACCGGACCGGTGCCAGACTGTGCAGAGTGTGCGCCACTACTAGTAATCGGTGGCGGACCGACGACCGTCCGGGCGGCGAGTGGGTGTCCAGCCGTCCGGGAGGCGTATGTGGCGGCCCATCGCGTGGGCAGCAAATAGACCAGCAGGCTATGAGGAAGGCATAATAGGTCGCCGCGGCCGCTGCAGCAGCCACCCACCAGGGGGACGCGGCTGTTAGCTAGCCGGGCGCCGCGGCGCCGCCGAGCTGCGCGACACGCTTCCGCTGCCGTGAACGTGAACCCGCGGTGGTGGTGGCGGGTGGTGTTTCTCCGCGGCTATCCAGGATTCGGTTTAGGACCCGCACTGCGCATTCCTGGGCCATAACTTTCTCTCCTGAATGCCGTCCGCCGCGGCCGATGTCCTGCGGGCCTCCGCGGCCCCAGTCCCCTGAGGCAGTGCGCAGTGCCAGTGCGTTCGTTGGCTATACGCGCATCCCTCTGCCCCGCGGCGTATCGATACGTATCGATCGGATCCGATCAACTTCGGCTTCATGTAGGGTTTTAAGGGTCTGCGATGTGACGAAAGTCTACACTGCTATGCACCGTCCACGTCAGCTGCTGGGAAGCCAAAGCCGAGCGCGCCCCGGAGGCTTTTGTCTCAAACCGTTGCGGGCGCCTGCCGCTGAACCTGGGGATATCGGTCACCGTTCTACGCGACCGCGCGGGTCCTTTACAAGGGGCCCGCCCGCCCCCCCCCCCCTCTTTCCGCCCCAGTCTGCGGTTGAGCCCGCGCGCGTCGCCTTCGCCGTGGGCCGAGCGGGCTGGTCCGGGCCGGGGGGCGCCGTGCTCGGGTCGCTGCACTGAGCTGCACGGCGCTGCAGTAGCCCCGCCGTGTCCTTGTGGGGCTTCCCTGCTGTGCGCCCGGCCCAGGCCTCTGGCGGACCGACGCTGACCCGCCCTGTGCAGAGCAATGCCCCAATTCCCTTACACGTAACTCAAAATTAAAATAGCCGCCTTTACGTTATGTATCAGCTCCAGCGCCTCCGATCCACGCAATGCTGACGTCAATGTTAAATTGTTGCAGATGATGAAGTCGGCGCAAGCCCCCGCCGCCGCCCCGGCGCCCTACTCGCTCGCCGCCTCCCTGGTGCTGTCCTGCCGCCTCAGCCCCGAGCAGGAGGCCGTCCTCGAGGCGTCCTTCCAGCGCGCCAAGAACGTGGACCCCGTGGAGATGGAGCTCCTCGCCGCCGAGATGGGCGTCCCGGAGGGCGACGTGCAGGTGTGTATGAACATTGCGTCAAAGTTTGGGTTGGAAATGTACCAACCAATTCTGCGTACCTATAAGTTTTGGAACATTTCAAACAGTTTTGGGGAAATTTCACACAGTTTGGGGGAAATTTCACATAGTTTTGGGAAAATTTCAAACAGTCCTGGAAAAATTGCAAAGTGAAACCTGTTTAATCTGAACAAACACTGTTTTGGTTTTAATTCTTTTAAACATAAAATGGAACCGGACTGCCCGCGCTACCGATGCGTTCGTGCGCGGCGGCGCGGGCAGCTCAGGCCGGCCGGCCAGCCGGGGTCGAGCAACTCCTAAAACCCACGGCAGATAGTGTGTTAGATTAGGCCGCGGTGGCGTGCGTGCAGCAATCGCGCTAAAAGCAGCCATCCACTCTGCAGCCCCGCGGACGGCACGGGACGCTCGCTCGCTCGCGTTCGTTGCGGCGCGCCGAGTTGCAGATCGCGGCCGCGGCCGAGGAGGGCGAGTACCTACCTGCACGACTATAGGATACGCCTACATGGCGCCGATTTAAATTTAAACTGGGTTTCGCGTATTGCGTCAGTGCACTGCTGCGCAATTTTTGCGCAGGACGCCCGTCAGCATGGCGCGCGTGTTTCGGACGGCTGGGGAAAGGGGAAAGGGGAACAGGGGGTGAGGGGTGAAACGGATGAGATAACGGCAGGAGTAAACAGGCTTCTATCGCCGCGTGTGATCCTGATGCTCCACCACCGCCAGTTTCCCCGCGTCCCGACTGCACATGCACATGTCCTGGTTTGGCATAGTGCTCCGCGTTCACCTGCCCCTGCTTGGGTGGACTTGAGACCATCGCTTCGTCAGTTTAATTTCATCGACTTCTTTCACTTTCTATGCTAAAAGTAGCTGTTGCCTGTTTGTGTGTTGCAGACTTGGTTCACTGCGCGCCTGTCAGCGTGGAGGAAAGAGCAGGGCTTGGGCGCGAATCTGAATGGATTGGTCTAATTTTTAAGTAGTCACTCTTTCTTTTAAGTTTAATGATGCCTCAAATATGATACCTCCAACCCCTTATTACAGCCTGCAGTACCCATGTTGCTAGAACAATAATATTTAGAACCCTCTTTAATTTTTTGAACAGTCCAATCAATAAGAACAGAAATAAGTTCAATTTTGTTTGATAGTGTCTCCAAGGGGGTTGGGCCGTATAAACTCTTTTCGTGCGAGGGATCCATCTCTACCGTCATATTACTTTGAACAGTTTTGTGGAGCCCGCCGCACGGAAAGTGTATAGTAAGTACCTGCAAATAAAAACCATGTCAGATCGACTTAAAAGTTTTGTTTACAAAATGGAAAATGGATTCTATGTTAATTTACATTCAGTTTTGTACATAAATGAAGGAAAAACACATTTACCGATACAATGAATTCACTACAAAATTTTCACTTTCATTGCATGGGTTTTAGAATATAATTGGAAAAGAGAATCTGTGTGTACATTGTTTATTTTAT